GAGCTAACAGAGCTAACAGAGCCACATCAGCTCTGAGCTATGAACTAACGGGGCTAACAGAGCTAACAGAGAACCATCAGGTCTGAGCTATGAGCTAACAGAGCTAACAGAGCTACATCAGCTCTGAACTATGAGCTAACAGAGCTAACAGAGCAACCCAGTCTCACGGCATTTCGTGTAATATTCACAAATGTAATTATTGATTCGTGTTCACCAACACGATCTTTGCATTTTTTTCGTCTCACACAGAACGATTTTAAAAGCAATGTAAATAATAACAAATTTCGAGAGATTAAAAAAATACAGATGTCAGTATTCTGAGGCTCTGAGCCATTTATTTTCCTCACGGACGGCAAAAAAACTCCAACATTATACAATTAAAAAAATAAAAGGGTTAGGCTTAGGGTAAGATATTGAATAAGAAAATGTTTTTATGAACCCCACAGGTTCAGGTCTTCCAAGACCCGAACGGACAAAGAGACGCGCTGCAGGCACGAAACATACTACCAATAGAAATACATTGCTTTTAAAATCTTTCTGTGTGACACGAAAAAAATTGTGAAATCGTGTCGGTGAACACGAATCAATAGATTACATTTGTGACTATAACACGAAATGCCGTGAGACTGGGTTGAATCGAGCTAATGGAGCTAACAGAGTCTCATTAGGCTAAAATCACAGGGGTCAAATTGGTTCCTCGTTTCTAAAATAATGAAGCTAATGGAGTCGCATCAGCTCCTAATATCTTAGCCAATCGAGGTTGACTTCATATAGCATACTCTGGGCCAACAGAGCTAACTAAATCAAATCAGCTTCTTACTTAGTTTAAGGTAACAGAGCTAATGGAGTAACATCGACCCCTCATCTCTGAGCTAATAAAGCTAACAGAGTTACATTATCTCTGAGCTAACTAAGCTAACAGAGTTACATTACCTCTGAGCTAACTAAGCTAACAGAGTTACATTATCTCTGAGCTAACTAAGCTAACAGAGTTACATTACCTCTGAGCTAACGAAGGCTAGCAAAGTTAAATTACCTCTGAGCTAACGAAGCTAACAGAGTCACATCAGCACAATCAAACACAACTCCACTAGTTACATAACATACATCTAGTCCCTTTTACACATTTAATGCACAAATGCTACACATTAGAATTCAAGTTGGTGTCAAAACGTGTTTCATCATTCAACAACATCTCCAGATCTGAAAACTTGTTTCTGCTTTAGGTTATTTTATTAGTTAAGTGTCTTTTAATCTTTTCCGGGAACAATCCCCCGTCCTAAACATGGAAACACATCCCATGTGTTCAGCAGCAGGTCGTCTGTAATGATGGAGTGCTTTTCCCTCAGGTTGGAGGAACACATGGAGCTTATTTATCTTCAGCTACAGCTAAATGACGAGAGGTGAATGGAGTGAAATATTGAACTCACAGATATCACCATGAAACTTCCCCAGTGCATTACTGATATCTGGACAATTATCTTTTACATTGCAAGTTTCTGACGTGTTGTGTTTAAATATGCTAATGAGGTGTTATGTAATGCGTTCTGTTGAGAAATCTGCAGACACAAACATGCAAAATAAACTTGTAAAAGTGTTTCTTGCATGTTTTTTCCAGCAGTCTGGAGGGAGACCCGTGCTGAATCTGAAAACATGTTTTTGTGCGTGGTGGGTCTGCACAGATAGAAAAGCATCTTTCTTCCTGTTGGTCACGGCTCATCACTTCTCCACCTGCACGAGTATTTTTAGAGAGGAAACTCCTCGTCAGGAGCTCGTCCATCAACACAAGCTAAATTTAACTCGACATGACATCACCTGAGACTGACCTGGGACCCACAAGACGTTACGTTTTAGAAATGTGGAGGAACGTCTTGCTAATGTTTGAATTCTACACCTGGCTTTAAAGTCAGAGTCCTGTATGGAAAACACCAGCTGGCTTCGAATGAACTGGTTTTGTTGCTTCCACTTCTTGTCTTACGTCATATTTAATCTCTTTTGGCTATGTATATGCACGTCTTCTTGTTATGTTATAACTTTAATACACAATAAATAACACTTAATACATTGAAAGTCCCTCTACATTCTGTGTAAACTAATTTAAGTTATTTTTACACATGCAACATTTATTTTACAAATGCTGCATTGTTTCTATCTATGTCCAAGCTTTAATGACAAGTCAATAAACAAACATTTATCACTGTTAATAAAAAGTTCAAGTTGTTCTTGTTGCAAAATAATCTCTAAATTCTGTAAAATCTGTAGATTTGCTGCCATTCTGTTTTATATCAGACATTTAATCACCTTGGATTTTTCAACTTTCTGACATTACATCGATTAGTTTGTGATTAACATAATAGTTTGTTATGGTTGTAAGCTTGCAGATTTCATTTCATTATTGCAAACAAAATGGAGACAAACCAAAGTACTGTAAAGTCTTTGTTTCCAAAATGATCCCCCGAACAAAGGCTGATCTCCATCGAGCAGAAACATGTCTTTCATTATGATTCACGTAATAGAAAATCTATCAAAACATCAGTTGTCCCTCCTTAAACTCTCAGTTTTCTCAATGGGCTTCTGCGTGGAGCTACTGTTCAAACGTGCCTTAATGAGATCAGCGTGTGGACTGCGTGCTGATTGGCTGTCGGACCCCCAGCTGCTTTTATTCCCAGCGGCCCCTCAATCAGCAGACAGGAAGTAGAACCTCCTGATTATTATTACGCCGCCGCTCTCGCTGCATGTGGTTCTGATTTTCTGACGGAGTGTTTTCAGTTTCCTGTCACAGACACTCTTTTGTGCGTCGTCCCTCTCCACTTTTATTCCCTCGAACATGGAGGTAAGAGGCCGCTCTTCAGCTTTTCTTCATCCCGCTAATTGGCAGCCACTTTACTCCCCCCCCCCTCGTTATGACAGGGTTAATGGCTTTACAGAGAGGCCTCTCAACCAATTAGAGTAATCAGAAGCTGTGTGGAGCCACATGTCCAGGTGAAACTATGGAGGCTTTCTTCTGCTGCAGAATAACTCCTTGTTTAAAAGTTATCGACGCTGCAGCCGAGCCCAGGTTCCCCCACGTAGGTGAAAGAAGAAAAAGAACGTTCATTAGGAGCTTCATAAAGTTAGCTCTCAGCGGTGAAATAATCCTGGATGCTGGATTTAAATTGTGACCATTTCCATTGTTCAACATTTATTGACAATGTGTTCACAATACAATTCTTCATCTCTGGTTTTGTTTAAATGTACCCTTAAGTACCCTCATCTTAAGAAACACTGGCAAATTGGCTATAAAGGTAGGTTAATGCTTTGTTACGAGCACGAAGGAGCACCAAAAAAGGCCGGCAGGATAATGGGCCAAAAAGTGGCATGGACAACAAACGACCATAACAGAGACAACAATCACCCAAAAAAGTGCCTGAAACATCAACGAAAAAACCACAAAGACAAAGAAAACAGCTTTGAAGAGAAACTAAATGTATTAAAATCAGAAACAAAGAACAAAAATCATAATTCCAAACCCTTTAGGACACGTGCATAAATCGACCTCAAAGGGGCCCGTGCATCTGCCCTGTTGCTCTCCTATTAAAAGTGTCCTTTTTCCATTTTCTTTTTCGCTAACAATATATTCCTTACATGAAACAAAAAAAAAAAAAAAAACCTGTGTCTAATACACCTTATCTAAAGATGATGTGTTGCTGTTAGTTCAGTCAGACAACTCACGTGTTCCTTACATGTTTATTAGAAGCAGCATATAGTTTGAGTTTGGCGTCTATGCTCGGCCTCATCACTCCACAGATTAACAAAGAACATTGAGTGATGATTAGATAACTGTCCCCCGAGCCTACAGGTGGAAGCTGGGGTGGAGGCTGGGGTGGAAGCTGGGGTGGAAGCTGGGGTGGAGGCTGGGGTGGAAGCTGGGGTGGAAGCTGGGGTGGAAGCTGGGGTGGAAGCTGGGGTGGAGCTGGGGTGGAAGTGGGGTAGAAGCTGGGGTGGAAGCTGGGGTGGAGGCTGGGGTGGAGCTGGGGTGGAAGCTGGGGTGGAAGCTGGGGTGGANCTAATGCCAAGGGCAAGGCCAGGCAGGAAACATGTGACTTATCAGTAACTTTAGACATCGTAACACATTTTTAAACAAGATTTTATTGTAGATTATACATTTTACTAATACCAATTGTATGATATTTACCTTGTTCATTAAAAATAAAAAATATAAAATATATATATTTTTTAAATATATATTTTTTTAAATATATATTTTTTAATTTAATATTTGTTTTTTATTTGTTTTTGTATGTGGGAAGAGGTGGGGCGGCGCCCCTTTGGGCCGGCCGCCACTGGTGTTAGTGAATGTGATAATGGGAAAGAAGCAAAAGCCGCTTTCCCCCTCCACTTGTCCTCTTTTTCGGCTTGTTAGTGGAACACAGAAACAGAGCCGTTTTTTTAATCAACATGAATAATGTACGCTTGTTTGTTTTCACTGTATCCGAACACAGTCATTCCTCGATGTGCTGTATGTGAAAGGCAAAGGAAAGTGTATGCCAGATTGTGCGCCAACTCTTGCATGGCAATACTTTATGCATGACTGTCATTGCACAAATAAAATCATCATTAATCATTTAATTTCAGATATTGTAATGTACAATTGTGTGCAGATGGGTTAATCTGTGTATAAATGCATAAAATATGAAAAGAAAAACACATTTAAGTAACATAACACAACAATGTGGGCCACATTAACATGCAAGCATAGTTTTAATTCTTCTTGTGTTGAAATAATATGAAGCACTTGTGAGGTTGTGTGTGTAG